CTAGCCCTATTAACTGCTTTTTTTTAATTTCATGGAATAAACAACCAGGTAGTTATTTTTAGATGAAGAACAGAAATTAAAATTAATTAACCATAGAACTACGAAATATTATATATTAACGAAGAGACCAGGAGAGTGGTAGACAAATAAAATAAGTGTAACACTATAATATAGGTTAAATAAGAGCGACCACAGTCTTTTACTAAATGCGAACTCAAAGTGATTTAATTTTAAAAAAGTGAGCAACCCTAGACTGCTTAAGGTAATAAAAAAACAGAATTTAATTATCCAACAATGAAATGTGTAAGCCTCAATATAGTATTAAATTTTCATAAACCCAATTTTAAAAGTGGTGAATTCTGATAACGTGACTGAGATACTCATACAAATGGCCAAAGGTGAGGTTTAGAAAGGTGGCTCAAGTTCTTATTTAGGAAATATTAATGTCTTGGAAACTACTCACAGAAAATAATAAATAAGTGTAATTTCAACAATGCAATATATCAGTGTACTATAAAACACTCATATATATTATTATAAAAATCGAGGAAAAATAACAGTTAGGCTAAATATTGACATGGCAACAGTGAAGCATAGTGATTTAGATTGAATTTGAAGCATCATAAGCATTATGGTGAACTTTTAAGATGGAATCTTTCCCAGGAAACTGATCGTGATCCATTATTCTATAATAATTAAGGTAAATATTGGGAGTAACAAAGTGCTTACCAGCATATCGACTAGCTCCTCTTGGCCAGACGAAAGAGCGAGGAAAAGAGGACACCGACCGGCCGGATCATCTGCCGCTGACAAACAAGGACTAGCGCCGGCTCTGACAACAACAGGTGGTAAGTTGTTGATGTTGAGATTAGCGCCTTGTTGACAAAGCAGACGAACCGTATCAAATAGGTGGTGCTCGATCGCTAGCTGAATGGCTGGTTTACCTTCCGGTGAGCTAGTTCAGGAAATTGACAAATAAAATGATACATTAGGCACCGTATAAATAAAATGAATTCAAAACAGTACAGAGCTGCAGAATTGCCAAGCCAAAATTAAAATCTTAAATTTTAAAATATAATACAAGAGGAGAGAGGTAGGGTTAACGTAATTAGGCAGCTAAGAACTCAAACATAGCAATTCCAGTGTATCGACTAGTGTCGAAAGCATAATATAGAAAAGTTATTCATACATTTGCTCAAGAGGATGCATACAAAAAATAAATAATATAATACAAAACTGTGTATTAAACTATTAAATAAGAAAAAGTAATAAGCACTTTCCTTGCTATTCAACGGAGACCAATAAATATGCCTCAAACAGCTTATTGACGAAAATTCCTAATTGGTATGATTGTGTGGACTCGTCTAAACACTTTCCAACTAAATTGCTTCCTTTATTTACATTGAACGCGCAATTATTGTACAACTCTCCATTGATACAGAGAACACTTTTGAATATCTCCCATACGGACTCCTCAAGCATGTTGACCAATCTGAAACCGACATGCCTACCGCGAAAGGAACTCTTGACGCAGTGACAGCTCCGGAATTTTATGGTTCGCTTCTGGTGAACGATTTCCAAATACTGCGCGCCATATTTGTACGCCGCCACTTAGTATTTTTCCCCTCGCTTGTAACTCATTCTGACCAACGCAAGCCCATTTTTGACTCGACTTACTTTCTATGAATGTAGAAAGTAGCTGAGCATAGCCTTGAAGTGAAACCACAAAAAGCATATGCTACTAACTTATAAAACCTAAGAAGAGAAAATCAAATGAAGTTCACAATCATTGAGGCATGCGGTCCAAGAATATTGTCAATATCACGTGTTTTATTTCTTTATTTACAGGGGATTTCCACAAAAAGTGCCGCAAGCCCAATTGTATCATTGATTCTTCTGATGCTAAGTGAAAATTATAAGGATTACTGTAGCGTCATTAGACATCTTATTTCATTTCAAAGGTGGAAGTGATTCGTAAATTGGCCTCACAGTAGGCAAACAATAATTGCCTAGAATTTGATATTGTTGATTTGTGAGAACAAGTCCCAGATGACTTGTCACACAACCGAGAAGAAGAGGTATTGAGTTTTAGTCTGTGTTGCCGTGGCAGACATCAAAATG